CAGCACTGTTTAGTTCTTCAACATGGAAGGGCCTTCCCATCTCCCAGCAGCTCCTCTCAGTCCTTTGTGAATGTCTTTAGCTCGTTAATGTTAATTGCTTTGTGTGATTCTCAAGAGGACATGCGGTGCAGTACAGGTTATTCCCTTCCTTTTCTATTTTCTTTTTTGAACTGGGGAGTATACCGTCGTGCTTTCATGTTCATGTGAAACAACTGTTCTTTTGTTTGTTTGTTTTATTCACTATTAAACATCTCAAGAGCTCAGTTTTCGCTGCTCGGTGGAGAAACATCCACTTTAGTTTAGTTTCAGAAGCCGTCATCATCGCCTTTGAAAATATTAAATCCAGGCATTTTTTTTTCTTGCATCGCATTCGTTCAGAAACAGATGTTGGAAGGCGGGTTTGAAAAACATTCATTTCCTGAACGGACACCGTGCATTTCTGCACCAATAACAGCTGGTGGAGCCGCAGTCATCCGATCAGGTGTGGGAAGGGATGATGGTCTGTCGTCAAGGAAAATATGTTGTTTGTTTTTCTCAACATTGGTCTTATTCTCATAGTTGTTGTTTTGTATCAAACATTGCGTAGCACGAGTCTCTCAAAGCTCTCCGAATAATCTTCCATTCTACGAGGTTGATTTCTGTCCAACTTGTTTTAAACGGTCGAATGATGTTAAATCAGTCGGCATATTTGTTTCACTTTCTCAAAGGGGACATGTTTGCTTCCTTGTGTGTTTGCATTATTCTAGGATCAATCTGTTAGAATTAGTAAATCTGAACCCCAATAAAACCGCAACGTGATTAGGGTTAGTGTTGCCGGGACGGTTTCATAACCGTCAGAACGATAGAAGCTACAATATCTATTGTGGCATCAAGTAGCACGTTTGGTGTGGAGCGTTGGAGGAACCGGACATTCCAGCCTTGTGTCCACCAGAACGTGCCTTAAATTGGCACGGTGGGAGCATTTGTAGATATCTACAAGACCAGACCAGAGAGTTGTAGAAGATGGATATCCAATTTGCAAAGCGTGACGTTGAAAAGTGACTTCACACGGGGGTCCGACACTTCGAATATGTTCCAACATCTTCGAGTGAATCGTCCGGTCCTCAGGGCCCAAGTTAAGGTAAAAAGCTATTGTTGTAAGCTGGACCTAAACTCGGCCGGGAGTAATTCACAACATGTCACTGTTTACTTTTTGGGGGGAATTACCACCCGAGGACGACTGTGGGTGTTTGTGTCTCTGTCAGTTTATTCCTGTTTAAACATTATAAATTATTGCTGAGAAGCCAAACGTTACACTATAAAAACTAACTGGATAGAGTTGATGATGATCCGAAACACCTCCACAGATAATAGAGATTAAACAAAGAAGATAACGCCGTAATGATTGATCTTTACAGATGCTGGTATACTCCATCTATCTATCAAAGTATTCCTGAAAGTAACAGAGCAAGTAATGACTGTAATCCTTGGCTTTGTTCAATTTGACTGGTTTTGTTCTATAAAAAACAACATGCAGCATTTAGGTATCGACGTTTTAAATGATACCTTCATGTTTCTCCTGTGTGAGTCAGCAGCAGTGGAGTCCCACAGGTTAAAGCTGTACACTTCTCTTTCTAAATCGTCTTCTGTGCTTTTCTTGTAGGGGCCACAAACGTAAGCACGATGAAGCCCAGGAGGAAGAGGACGACATTAAGGAGGAAGAGGAGGAGGAGGCGGCGGCGGCGGAGGAATCTGCCGACGAGTCTTCTAAAGACTCCAACGAGGAGGAAGGAGGAAGCAGCTCGGAGGCGGACGAGATGGCCGCAGCCTTGGAGTTGGAGCTCAACGACTTTATGTGACGTGGAAAATGAAGAGACTCATTCACAGTAAAAGGACAGCGACAACAAAAAGAAGTGGTACCTAAAAATCCTATTTTTCTGCTTTTGGAACCGGTGTGTTTAGGATGTATGAGCCATGAATGTGTGCCACGATCACGATGAATGTCCTGTACAGAAGTGTTGCCGTGTAAATAAAGGCTTAGGTTGTTTTGTAGCATTGATGTATGGCCTCTTTTGGCAGAAAACATTTTGATGTTTCACATTTTATTGTAAGATAAACCGTAGGAGGCATAACATTTGATACTTCTTGTTTTTGTTTGTTTTACTATCTCGATTTTTATATTGGTGAGAAAAGGATAAATTAAATGATAAGGTGGTCGTACATGCCAAAGAGTTTGGAACAGGTTTGTCGAGGCGTGCAGCTAAATATTTTACTCTGGACTTCCAGTTTTACTTTTCTTTCTGGCCTCCGCAGCAGTTTGTTAGGCTCATACATGCAACCAGCCGATCTAGACGTTTGAATGTGGTTATTCTGAGTCATTTTTTCCTCAATGTGTTTCTACGTTTGATAACGTTACGCTAAGGTAAGCTTTCCATTCGCCGTGGACTGGATCACACTTAAGTTTGTGTCCGTTTTCATGTGTTCTTTACGTGTTGGCTCACCTTTGTCGACCCGTCTCTTCTATTGCTGTCGTACAGTTGAGGACAGGCGTCTCTCACTCAGCCTCTGCTTGTGTACACTGGAGCTTAAAGCCCTTGTGAAGCCTCGTTACCACGAAGGGTAAGTTTACCCAAATTACAAAACATGTTTTCTCGCTTACCTTTAGTGGTATATTAGTATTCAAATCGTCTTGTTTTAAGGTTTTCCTCTCTGAGATGTCTGACCTAAGAACAATGGTAAGGAGCCACCAGGAGGTTCATGTGGTAGAAAATGAAATGAGCCAAAAAGACAATTATTTTCTCCACAATTGAAGTTTTTTAGTTGTCTGTCCAGAGGAAGATAACCTCAAAGTAACGAGCAGCAAGCAGAGAGGGGTGTCCTTTGGTTGGTAAAGATAACCAATGCGGCGTGCACTTTACTAACATCACACATTGCGGGAGTTTTATCAAACGCTTCCATCTCACTGCCATTTGAACCGTTAATGTTTGGCATCTGTACAAAGCTTCCAAACAGTGAAGGATCTGTCCGGCAGCAGAGCAGATGTCTGGTTGAGTCTCTGCCCTCACCTTCACCTGCTGCAACCAACAGCACATCCAGTTCATCCTTTCACAGTGCGACAGTCGTCCCGTTTCTCTTTTATTTGTGTTTGCGGTGTGTTCCAGTTTCAATCGAACAACTGACTTGTATAGTATTTGTAAAGTCTATTTCCTACTTGACCCTGAGAGAGAAAAATACTTTCATCAAATAAAAATGTTTCTAAGTAACACGACTGGAATGGGTTTTGTTTTATTCCAGGGGACTATGAAATACATCCAGTATTCCCTGAACACGATCATTAATTTGTTCTGCAGATGGAGTCCATTAGCCTGCCTCGTCTGTGCTGCGTTTAGAACATGGGGAACATAATGCGTATGGCACTATGAGGCTCCCAGCAGGAAATACTCCTCAGTTAATGGACTCTGTGTGTGGATGTTTATAGAGGCTCTGTGTCATGAAAAAAAATAGCGGAACCATTAGGCGTCGTGCCACATCGCCGCTTAGTTTGATGCATGTGTACCAAATGTGTTGCAACCTGCTTTACGGACGCCACAAGCCGTCCGTTTGCAATTTTAGACGCAAAAAAAGTAAAAGACACACTTCTACAGGCGAAAAGCTCAACATTTCATTCTGAAAATGAGGTCTTTGGTGTACATTTTTCGGGGGCTTGTTTACTCTGTCATCTTGCGCCTTCAGTCAGAGTACCAGGCCTGCAGGTGTGGTGCTGATCACACAGGAAGCGGCAGAATAAATCACAGCCATAAAGTCTATTAAAAGCGTGACTGCCCGCTCGGTGCGCTTCTTTCCCGGAACGCCTGATGAGCCGCTGCCTTTAAAAGCCAAAAGCAAACAGCAATAAACAGAGAGGTGTTTATCCTCTGATGAAAGCAGGTATTTTTCCTCCAGGGTGGATTGTTTCCCTCACATTTGCAGAGCCGCAGTGGTTTGAGTCCACATTTCAATGTAAATTAATTTCAATTTTGCAGCTGTTTTTTTGTTAATTTATGATCCACAAAGTGGATTGAAAGGAGACACAGAGGTGCTAAAAGCTACTATGTAAGGAAGCGAAGCCATTTACAACGTTTTTATAGAATTAATGGGTTAATTTGACCTTTTGTTTAATTACATACGAGTTGAAAATCAGACAGTAAATCAAGATCCACTGGCATGCCACCTTTTTAAGTTGCTAGCTGACTTGGTGTTGAATGGTTTCAACCTTGAATAATCAATATACACAAAATGCTTTTTGATTAGGAATAAGAGCACACATAACACACATCCACGCACTGCTTTCATTGCTGACATTTCTGATGTGTCTGCTCTGGTTCTGTTGGTGAGAGTTTTGCTGTAGTTTGGTTTCCTCTGTGTCTTGTGCGTCTCAGCACGGTTTGTTTGTCTAGCGAGCCTTTGTTCTAATCTAGAGGAACCTTTGGTTATAATTCACTTGCCTGCTTGAACTTTGTTTTGTCTCACTGCAGCCCAGTTTCTTTGACACCTGTGTGGAGGTTTGACGCTCAGGTACTGTGGGTCCTCCTTTGGACCTCATGTCCTGATGACCATTCTTCCCACTGTTTCTCGTTTTTACATTTTTCTGCAAAATACAGATCGGAATTTGAAGGAGAGTACTGTTTAATACTTTTATATATTTCATGGTTCAGAAACTCTCCCATTAAGAACAAAAGCGCAATTTTTTTCATGTGACTGTTTACTTCCAATTAAGTGGTTTCTCTTTGCTTCTTGTCATTATTTTTGAATGACTCCTGCCCTGATCCTCCCTGATAAAAATATCTGATATTCTCATTTTTTATATTGCTGTATTGTCTTTGACTTAGTAAATTTATTTTGTTTAGAGTTCCAGATGTCAAAGTGGAACCATGACTTTAAGAAGCGGGAGTGTGACAGCTTTTACAAACAGGATCTTAATTGAGTTTTCTGGTTAAGGAGTATTTTAGTTGTTAATTGCATCTGATAAATGTGTTGAGAGTTGAAATGTGTTTTTATATACTATATAGTATATATTATACTATATAGTATACTATGAATCCTGCATTTACAATCTAGCAGTCTCCTTCTTCCCCGTCTTTTTTGGCACATTGTTGAACACATTATTTTTCTTTTTACGTTTATTGCCTACTGCAGCTGCCTTACAAGGTACGTACTGTTGCATCCAGTATTCAATTGGGACAGACTGCTTCGTCAAAACATTGCACCTTGAACTTTGACCCTCTCGCTCATGTATCTGCTGCGCAGAGGATTGTGGGTCAGAATAGTCAGAAAGAGCACGCTGGCTTTTATACAGCATAATGCGAGCGGATGCAGGAGGACATCCTGGTATTTTTTGGTACACTGCATTTGACACAGTCTGTTTTGGGGACATACTAAATATTTCTTTGACATGCTTCTAGTTCATGTTCGTGCATGTGAGCGTGCCCCACTGGTTAGCTCATGGCCTCCGCTCTGCACTGCTCTCGTATGGCGGTTACAGCTAATAACGCCGTCCTGATTGACAGTGTCATCGTGCAGTGCCCACCCTCCGGTTCCCCTTCTGGTAAACAGCTCTGTCAGCACTTGTGCCGTACATTGCGCTGTTAGCACCGTTAGCTATGAGCTTCCAGCTCGTCGTCTACATGTTGAGAGCCATTAAGAAACTATAGCATTTTTTGCTCCCAATCTTCAATCTTGCACCTTTATGTCTTCAAGAAAGGTTTTGGAAAAGCCGGTAAATGGACTTTTAAATCATTTTGTCAGACTTGCTTGAAGTTGTGTGCTTTATCGTGGATTAACCTACAAACCTCTCGCTGTTAAGCTGGAAGCCTGGAAATGTAGATGAGGCTGCACTCTTTTCTCCAGATGTCTTAACCTAAAGCTTAGCCAACATGAAAAAAAAGCTTGTGTTCACTGGTGAGTGACAGCTGCTCCCACTGGTAATGAGTCACAGATGTGATTGATCAGCCATGAAGCCAAACGAGAAGCTTTGGTTTGATTGGCACTTGAGGTCAGATATCTGCTCCGCCTGCAGTGTCTCCGCAAGTAGCTCTGCTCAGGGTTGATGGTTAAGAGAGGAAGTTATACTAGTACTAGTCATTTATCTCAAAACATCATCCCGTCATGATCCCGGTGTCGTTACATAGCGGCTTGTGTTTTCTTTGCACACTTATGGGCCTATAAAGCCCTTTGAGATGAAGTACTCATGAGGCTCTAGTGAGCTACAATATCGATGAAACGTTTCAGAGATGGAGAGAAAACATTGCTTGTTGTGACCTTTGCAGAGGGCTGAACTATTACAAAGATGGAGAACAAATGAGGCTTCCTTCAACCTACTGTAGCTACTGTAGCCGTGAGCCTCACTTTGATGCTGCTGAACCATCAACAGTTTCTCTCCATCTCTGAAACGATTCGCCAATAATGTCAGTCTCTCTTTTTGATAAGTCCGTCTTCCTTTTTTGGAGTTACTTTGCAGTGTATGCAGTTGCTGCCAATGCTGCCAATGCTGATCCCTGCAGGTAAGTCCGCTGTCACTTTCAGCATCTGAAGGGACGCACATCTGCATTTGTAGAACAGCCAATAGGAACGCCCTCTCTCTGAAATGACCTGCGGTTGTTCAAAGTCTCCCGAAACAGAGCCGAGAGGAGGCGTAGAAGTCTAGTTTTCTTTCAGACCATTTGAATTATAATTATTATAGTTATGATGGAATTGTCTGCCAAAAGATGACAAAGAAATATACTGCCTGCCCCAGCTTTAAAGGTGAGAGCACCAGTTCTCATGAATGATGGCTTCCTTTGACAGGAAAAGAAAGGAGAGAGGAACAGAGAGGAACCCTCGGGGTCTGTCGGCCCTTTACGTGACCTTCTACTGCATCCCACTTTAACAGAGGTGTCAGCTGTGGTGTGATGACTGTACAGCAGCATTACTCTGTGCTGGTGCTTTTACGGTCCTAAGAACTGAGGGCACGGAGGGAAGACACAGCAAGAACAACACAAAAAAAGGTCGGTCAGACAGAGCTCTTAAGTAGTTATAAAAACAGGACATATAGACACAGATTCAAATGATTAGTTAGGATGTGAAAATGTATTTAGGTGTTGTATTTTTCCCTTTGTCTATTTGCGTGTCTGTGTTTATAATAGTAGCTGGTTGGTTGGTTAGTGTGCACATACTGTAGTACCAATAATACAGAAACATTTGTCAGAAACTCACACAACTTCTTACACAACATTACAGTATATTGCAAAGCAAGACTTTTGTCTCCTGTTTAAAGGCCGACAAATAAAAATTCCCCCCAAAAAAAACTCCTTTTAAATAAAAACTAAAAATATAAATAATTCCTCCAGAAATGGCCATTAGAGTTGAAGGATATTTTACTTATATAACCCTTAAATCGGCATATAATGGGCAATAAAACGCGAAATGGTCTTTAATTTATTGAGAAATGGGCTTATGGAGACCTTGGCTCTCTGGTTTAATTCTACTTTGTGTAGTTTGTAATTTAGGAACACTTTGTGCTGAGCTTAATGAATACAAAGAAAGACATCATCATGATCACCCATTTCCACACAAAATGCACCTGATCAGAGTAATCATGACAGTCATTATCCTCATCATCATTATCATCATGACAATTAACATCTGTGATTGGCATCATCATCATTAGACGTAATGCAGAGTATGTTTTTAAGGTGCATTCAAGGATGTACTGTACAAATATTCTGATGAGGGAATAAATAAGATGAAATGATGAGAAAAGGGAAACAACAAAAAGGGTGTAGAGAGAGAGAGAGAGAGAGAGAGAGAGAGAGAGAGAGAGAGAGAGAGTCCTCCACTTACCTTCCCTGTGTGTGTCCATGTACACGGTCTGTTGACAGATTTGCCAAATAAATAGTTTTACATCCATTCAAATAAGTGAAGACTTATTCAACCCGGTGTCACTCACAACTCTTACTTGGTAAGTTTAGGAATAGATCATGCCATGTCATTACTGAAGTACGAAAGCTACGTGACAAAAACATCAACGTTGACTTCTTGTCTCACGTGTGGAACGAGCTGCGGTCTCCTGGCTGAAAGACCGCCGTTTGTTGGACGCATCCACCTCCACTCCCGCCATCCCTGTGTCTGCTTTTGGGGTTCTTTATTCTTCATCATTCATGATTACCTGGATAACATACAGAATAATACGGTGCTTTTTCTTTCCGTAGCTTTTGCTACGAATGCCGGACAACATCTGCCTGAATAATAATGTAAACCCACCCCGGCATTATTTCACGGTCAGAGCAACTGACATAGTGGGAAATAGTCCACACAGGGCGGGTGGGTCAGATAAACACAGGACTTTCATCCAGGAGACCGCTGCCTGTGTCCTGAGCTAAACTAAAACATTGACGTTTTGTCACGGCAGTCGAGCATTATACTGTATCATAATATAATGTAGTGCAAATGTGATCAGAAAAGCGGCTAATGCCATTAATCTATTGCAGAAGAAGAGAGCACAACAAGATGACTCTTTTGATGATTGAAAGTGCGCCAATCAAACCTCAAATGAAGAAAAACAATGTGGATAACGTGATAGAAATTTGGATTTTTTGCTTGTTCGTTTGTTTCCTATATCAATTTGAGGACGGTTACAGTCTCCATTGAACCTTTTCACATTCAGTTTTTATGAATACACCAACCTTTGCACCTCAGCCAAGCATTTTTGAGATATTTTACATTGTTTTTTTCCACCATTTCCACTAGATGTAACCCTGTGTTTTATGGTGGATTTCTGCATCTTGTGTCATGCGAGTGCATCTCAAAGGTGAAGAAAACTACGGGGGCTCTGATCAAAGGTTGCCCAAACCTTTCTTACCTTTGATTACCAGAGTGCAGACACGCAGCAGCTGTTAGAGTACAGTATGTAGGGCAGCAGAGGGAGGTGGGGCTGGCTGTGATTCGGTGAGAGCTTCCATAAATAAGTTCATGAAAAGAACTGATTACCTAGACTTTGGCAAGCTATTACAGGACCCCGCGCAGTTATTGCTTCCATCTGTTAAATAAGCGTGACGTGTCATGAAAACAAATGGTGTAAACTTGATCAGACACTCGGGATCAAAGCATCATTCATTTTCTTTTAAAATATACCGACGCTACAGTAAATCCCATCTTCGGTTATCACCGGTTGCAGGAAGCACACTGAAGCCTGTGAGCTTCAAACCCCGGTCTGAGCAGAGGCCCTTTGACTATCGCTGTATATACCCTGCATGATACACATGTTTCCAGACATGTAATCCTTCAAAATCTCTGGCATGGTTTTACTGGAAAGTCCTGACACAAGGTCCATGAGCACGCTAATTAGTCGTCCCCCGTGTAAGTTAGTAAGATAGATAACAGCATGAGCTGAGAGCTGCAAAATGAAACATGATGAATCAAGTCAGACTTGTCATTTGACTGCTTGAGGGCATGTTCAGAATAACAGATGTGTTCTTTTTCCAAGCAACTTTACTTCAAGGCAAAGATTGCAAACTTTAAAAAAAAAGGTCAATGAAGTTACTGATGAAGTTAGTTTTTAATAAGTTCCAGAAATGAATGAGGGACACTATTTTAATAAAATATGTAAATCTAAGAAATGTGGAGCGGATAACTGGGCCAGGTCAGCATTGTGTGCCGGCTTCCATTGTACTGCTAACCACGTCCTGCTGGATATTGCGTCCTATTGTTCTCTCGGAGCCTGAAGTCAGCATTTTCATTACTTTTGACATTTTTGCTTTTTGCCAAGAGACGGATGAGAAGACGGATACAGCTCTTGTGTCGGTTCAGTAAATAATAAATCAAGATCCGGAAGAGGATTAGCTTAGCTTAGCATAAAGTCTGGAAGCAAGAGGAAAAAGATATCATAAAAAGAATCCGTACATCCTGGAGTCTGCTGGTTATGTCACAGTCCCGAAACTAAAGCGTCTCGGTTTCCCCCTGCTTCCAGCCTTTATGCTAAGCTAAGCTAATCAATCGACACGAGTGG